GAGAGGGAGAATCTTAGGCAGGCTCCACACTCGGTGCAGAGCCCTTCTAGGGGCTCAGTCCTACAACCCTGCAATCATGACCTGAGCCAAAATCAAGAGTTGGGACCCTCAACAGACTGAGTTACCCAGGCTCCCCCTTGGAGTATCTTGACACTTAATTTTTATCAACTGGGCTGCCTACATTTTACAGATTGGGGCCCAGGGAGGGGAGGTTCCCTGAGACAATCCATGTAACACGGTGGTTCTTGTGTAGTCTCTAAAAGCAGAATGCAAAAGCTAAAACCCCACTCCAGTGGGTAGGCAAGAGCCCTTTAATAAGTTTTATAACTCTGTGTTTAGTTTTCTTATCAAACAAGTAGGAATAGAATAAGCATCTACCCTAAGGATGGAGTGAGATAATCCACGGATTAGCCTGAACCTGGCATGTGCTATCCAATCCATGAGTGCTACTGTACCTTCTTCTGTCTGGGCACCCAGGTAGGAGGAGTGCCAAATTAGAACCCCAGGTGCCACCTCCACTGCCCCAGGCTTGCTCCAGATTCATCTTGAGGTTGACCAGGCACCTACCTGGCCATTTGCCAGTGGTTTTTCTTCTGTTGCTGCACAGAAGTTCAGGCAATAATGTCTTTGATTTTGGTAAATGTATTCCATCAGATGTCCTCATGCCCAAATTTATTATTCATTTTTGAGAAATAGAGAGTGAGAGAGAATGAGCTGCGGAGGGGCAGAGAGAGGGGCACAGAGGATCCGAACTGGGCTCTGAGCTGCTAATAGCAAGTCTGATGCGGGGCTCGAACTCATGAACTGTGAGATCATGACCTGAGCTGAAGTCAGGCATTCAACCAACTGAGCCACCCAGGTGTCCCCCTTATGCCCAAATTTAAAACAAGGCTATTTATATACCCCGATAACAATATACACACAGCTTCACAAACACATCATGCACTGTGTTTCTATTTTCTCTATTTATTTATTTATTCATTCAACTAATGTGCGTTAACCACCCACTATGTGACAGGTATTTGTTGTGGGGATCAGGTATACATGAGTGAAAAAACTGGGAAGACTTCTGGCCCTCTATGGAAGATATCTGGGAAGAGATTTGATTTTGTGGCAAACATGTTCTCATTATGAATTTTACCACTATAATAGTAAAACTAAATTGTCCCCATCTCATTGGTGCACAGTTATGAGACTACAGGGTGTGTGTGTGTGTGTGTGTGTGTGTGTGTGTGTGTGTGTGTGTCTGTGTGTGAAATACTGTTAAAAAGATATTAACTGCCAACTCAGGAGTTGGGTATATTTTTCTGAATGTAATTTATTGTCAAATTGGTTTCCATACAACACCCAGTGCTCACCCTAACAGGTGCCCTCCTCAATGCCCATCACCCACTTTCCCCTCTCCCCCACCCCCCATCCACCCTCAGTTTGTTCTCTGTATTTAAAAGTCTCTTATGGTTTGCCTCCCTCCCTCTATGTTTGTAACCAGTTTCTCCCCTTCCCCTTCCCCTTCCCCTCCCCCATGGTCTTCTGTTCAGCTTCCCAAGATCCACATATGAGTGGTCATATGATATTTGTCTTTCTCTGACTGACTTATTTCACTTAGCATAATACCTTCCAGTTCCATCCACATTGCTGCAAATGGCAGGATTTCATTCTTTCTCATTGCCAAGTAGTATTCCATTGTATATATAAACCACATCTTCTTTATCCATTCATCAGTTGATGGACATTTAGGCTCTTCCCATAATTTCGCTATTGCTATAAACATTGGGGTACATGTGCCCCTATGAATCAGCACTCCTGTATCTCTTGGATAAATTCCTAGCAGTGCTATTGCTGGGTTGAAGGGTAGTTCTATTTTTAATTTTTTGTGGAACCTCCACACTGTTTTCCAGAGAGGCTGCACCAGTTTGCATTCCCACCAACAGTGCAAGACGGTTCCCGTTTCTCCACATCCTCACCAGCGTCTGTTGTTTCCTGATTTGTTCATTTTAGCCACTCTGACCGGTGGGTATTTTTTTGAATGACATTAAAATTTTTTTCATTTCTATCTTGGAATTTAAATTGGAAAATCATTAACATTATAAATTTATGTTGTCATTTCCATTTTTAAATTCAAGGGACATCAAAGGCTATGAATCTGATTGTAATTGTAAGGTGAAGGTACTTATGTTGCATTAGCACATTTTTGTCACTTGAGAGTGGTTTGCTTATTTTTAGCCTATGGAAGGTTTTAAAAATAAAATTTAATGCACCCTTTAAATATTCCTTGTTTTAAAGGTACTCCATTTTAAAACATGCCAAGAGAAGAATTTGATGTCTGTGTTTGAGGTCAAAAATAGGGAGCCTAAGACCATTCTCTGCTTTGGCCTGCCTCCCTCCTTTCTGAAAATGCCTGTCTGACCTTCCAGCACACTCTTGGGCTCAGGAAGTGTATGTGTGCAGCTTTTTGGAGAAGTTTCTATCTTCCCACTCCATGACCACATGAACACTTCCTGCATGTCTTTCTCTGCTCACAACTGAGTACTCTTCTCCCCAGCCCCTTAGGGAACAGGGAAGGGAGGCCCTGACATTGTGCTTGTGTAAACATAATTGAGAGATTTCCATGTCTCTTGCACCTTCATAAATGATTTTGTGTATTATGCTGGGACAGTAGTTCTTTAAATAGAATATCCTCCCATGGAAATCGCCCACAGTGCTGAGAGTACACCTTGCAAAAGGTGAGACTAGAGTATAGGGTGCATCCTCAGCATTGCCTAAAGGCTGAAGTTAGGGCTCTCTGGAATATCGAAAACAAATTTATAGCAGTTCATTAGTGTAAGGAATCATGAAAACAGTGTGCCGCCGTTACCTGTGGAGACAACAGTTACCAAGCGAGTGCAGACATGAGGCTCTGAAGACAAAGCTGCTTACAAGGGCTCTCGTTCATTCTAGAGAAACCCACTTGCCTATTTTGAACCACATTTCTTTAGAGCATATGTCTCACTGTGCAACCAAAAGGGTGTTTATATCCTAGTCACTTGGCAAAAATTCTGTTGTTGCTTCTGAGAGATCCAGTTTAAGCCTGAATCACGGAGCTGGGAAAAAGATGGTCTTTGGTCGTCTGAAGAAATGACCCTAGTGCAAATTTAGACAGTTATTTTTTTTCTTTTGTTCCCCATAATATTGTTGCTGCATGGAACTACATTTTTTAACTAGAAGAGAAGTAGAGTCCTAAATCAGTTCAGTTATTCCCACTTGTTTGAAATGAGGACATTTGTTTCTATTCAGTGAGATGAGACCAGTTGGGAACTTGCCATGATATTTCCATTGGCCACTGAATTATGTCAATTGCAACATATTTCTTCAGGTACTTGACAATTTCCAAACAATTGCTCTTAAAAAGTCTATTTGAGGGGCACCTGGGTGGCTCAGTTGGTTCAGCATCCAACTGTGGCTCAGGCCATGATCTTGCGGCTCATGGGTTCAAGCCCTGCCTTGGGCTCTGCACTGACAGCTCAGAGCCTGGAGCCTGCTTCAGATTCTGTGTCTCCCTCTCTCTCTTTGTCCCTCCCCTGTTTGTGCACTCGCTCGCTCGCTCTCTCTCTCTCAAAAAAAAAAGTATATTTGATACTCAATGGGGAGAAAGCAGGTGCAAAAGTATATTTATAGGGTGCATTTTTAGAAGATGTATTTATAGAGGGTGACTGGTATGTCAACATGTTGTTTTATTATTATCTTTGGTTAAGATTATGGTTATTTTTACCTTCTTTACAGTTTTGGTGTTTTCCCATTCTCAGACTTATTTTAATCAGTTTTCTTTTTCTTTTTTCTCTTTAAAAATTTTTTTTAATGTTTGTTTACTTTTGAGAGAGAGAGAGAGAGAGAGAGACAGAGTGCAAGTGGGGAAGGGGCAAAGAGAGAGAGGGAGACACAGAATCCCAAGCAGGCTCCAGGCTCTGAGCTGTCAGCACAGACAGCTGGGGCTCGAATTCATGGACTGTGAGATCATGACCTGAGCCAGAGTGGGATGCTCAACCGACTGAGCCACCCAGGCACCCCAATGTAGTTTTCTTAAATACCTAAAAGATAATTTTCCTTTAACAATATTTAAATAGATATAAGGTCCATTGGTGCCATCAAGTCATTTCTCCTCTTCCTTAACCTTGCAAACCACACATGAGGACACTCATAGGAATGCCTCTTACGCTATGGTTTGCATTTATCAATAAATCACTCATAATGAGAACTAGAAATCTTTTCTTGCTAAAATAAATATATCTCTTTCAAGAGTAGTTCTCTTTTGTGAACGATGTTTGACATCTTAGAAACTAGGATAGTCTTTATGTACATTGCTATAGTCAAAGCATTATTTTGTAGGGTGGGCTCAAGCTTACATGTTTAAGAAAAGCTTCAGGTTAATCCTATTAGGAAAATCATTTTATTCATAAATCTTTAACTATTGAAAAGACCATTGGGAGGCTATGCTAGTTTGTATAGCTGGATAGAATTAAGTAGCATATTTGACAATTGGCAATACGAAACAGTAGCCTACATTTGCACAGTGCTGTCTATTTAAACAGCAACAAACATTTCACAGAGAAATACGTGTTCACCTCCACATGAGGCTCTTGGGTAGTTATATCAAATTTTTGGATGACAAAATGTAGTCTGGCAGAGACTAACTGATTTGCCCAACATCATTCATCTGGCAGAGGTGGATGATTTTCTGTCCCCTAGCTCCAAAGTCCTGTCCACTTTGTCCTGCAACATTGCCCCACAGCAAGTCACTGCTGCTGACCCCAGTGATGCAGGGTAGTGTTGCCAGCTAGGAGTTAGCTCTCCTTGACTTTAAATATGAAACCTTTTTTTTCCTATTAAGCGATGAAGTTTAGTTTTTACATTTTCAAAGATGATAAACCTTTCTCCCTTTGTGCTTCTTTCTCCTCTTTTGTTCCTAAACAGTGTTACTGCTAGAAACAGATTATTGGCATTCATGTTATGTTTTTCCATACCTTTTAATCATTTCTACAGCTGTTCACATGACAACAATTATATTTCCAGTTTTAAAAAATTGTTACAAAGATGCAGAGAGAAAAGAGAAAAGCAAAGGAATAAACTACAAGCAATTATGTAAGTGATACTTCTGCAATCTGACATTTTGGGAAATGTTACTGGTACTGCAACTACTTTTTATTATCCAGATTTTAACCTTTCAGTGGACATGCCTTAAGCTTGGTCACCACCTAACAGTAGGTCATGTATTTTTCTAATTTTTCTACCATCCAAGTTTTTTAACCACAGGAAGAATGTTTACTGTGCACCAGGTTACATCATGGCACCTACAAATAGATATGTACAGTTTACCAACATGTCCTTTTAAAAAACTGATATTGACACCTTTACTGAAAGTAAATTGACACTGTGCAAAGTGAGCCAGTGGGCTTAAATGTGTAGATTGTACTCACTGCTCTTACCAATTGGGGACTGAACAGCATTTGATGACCTAGTGAGTTTATTTGTAAATTATTTATGTTTCCTTGTCATTTCAAGGATTTAAGTTTCCAATTTAAAAGATCTGAAAGTGTCCTCAGATCTGAAATGAGTCTCTTGTAGACAGCAAATAGATGGGTCTTGTTTTTTTATCCGTTCTGATACCCTATGTCTTTTGATTGGAGTATTTAGTCCATTTACATTCAGTGTGGATCTTGAAAAACTTAACAGAAGACCATGGGGAAGGGGAAGGGGGGAGGAAAGTTACAGAGAGGGAGGGAGGCAAACCATAAGAGACTTTAAAGGACTGAGAACAAACTAAGGGTAGATGGGGAATGGGGGAAAGGGGAAAATGGGTGATGGGCAGGGAGGAGGGCACTTGTTGGGATGAGCACTGGCTGTTGTATGGAAACCAATTTGACAATAAATTATATTTAAAAATAAGTGAAAAAATATCATTGAAAAAATAAATTTTTTTAATCTTTGGAAAATCCAGAAAAAATAAAAAATTGCATTTCATTGAGATATGTATGTTCCTTTCTTATCAGTTAACAAGAAATCCTTTATTCTGTTGCCCCCCTTTCCCTTTCCACCTTTGCACCTACCAGTGTTCTTTTTACATTTGCAGGCTGATTGGCTTGACATGTCAATGACCCCAACCAGAGAGCCTTATCTTATAAATACCAGGCTCATTTTCCCAGATGTTTCAAACAAGATAGAATATGACCTTTCTTCATGTTGTATGTTCAGATTAGTGAGTTGGGAAAGTGTCACGTGATCACTCTATTACACAGACATGGAAATCCCTCAGAGATCATGTTTTGGGGTAGAACCACCCAGACATCTAAACATTTAACGTAATGAACTTATTAAAACTTAAAACCTGGTTAATAATGAGTTGGAGATGTGTAAGATTTTGCTTAAGGTATGTTTTTGTTTTACTCTTGCTTTCCCAAATGCATCTTATTTTCATATTATGTTAGGACCTCAGCATGATAGACTGTGCCTCAGAGAAGACCATAGGTGAGCATACTTGAAGAAAAGTTAATGTAGTCACATACGTGTATTTAGTGTATACATTTTACAAATTCTTAGCGTATAAATCTTAATATGATTTTGGCTGCCAAATTAGATTTTATTTTGTTAACCAACTCTGTAAATTAGAAATGTCCTCAGCCATTTATTCAGCAAAGTAGAGGGAAAGAAAATGGCATCAGTTTAAACTAGGACATTTAAACCAGAATGACCTGATAATGGAAAATACTTAAAACAGAGTCCTATCTCTTCCACTCAGTGTTTCCTCCCCAAATAGAGACCAGTTTATTCTTGGTAGGTTTATTCCAACAAGCACCGTGTTATAGTGAACCATGGTCTTAATATACTTTGAAAAATGGCGTATCTGTTCTATAAATCAGTATACCAATTTTCGCCTCTTTACAAAATACAAAGGAGACTTTACCAACCAGAACAATGTAGAACCTGGTAATTCAAATACCATTCAAAACAGATACTTATCTAATAATTGGAACTAAATGTTAGGCCTCATGGCAGCCAGCTTAACAACTAAACAACTTTTAATAAAAAAAAGGGGTAAGCCCTTTTATGTTCTGATTTTAGCCCTCTCGACTCAGGACATTGCAGCAAGTGGTTTATTTTCAATGCCTTAAACATCCATATCATACTGTACATTAGTGGCCAGTGTAAGTACCAAGTCCCATGCTAAATTCTGTACATAGTGGTGCTGCCTTGGTCACCACCACCTTGCCCTTTCTCTGGTGTTTATTTGGCAGGGACATCCCTTCCCCTTTTAGTTCATTAGTGTCCTTATGTTCATAGCAGCTCCCCACCATATAATAGAAAAGAAGCTATGAGTCGTTTACACTTTAGCATAAATGTACTTTCATGACTTCATCAAGACTATTTGTGCCTAACTCTTTAACTGCAGAATGAAAGACTGGACTGTCTCTGAGAAGAATGAGCTGGGAGTCAGTCTAGTCATCAGGACCACCATAGACCTATTACCGAGAGGTACGTGGACTGCATAACTGTTGCAGATCAGCACCCGAGGCAGCTTTTTCTAAGCCATGAGACTGCCAGCTCATGCTCTCTCTCTTTTCCCCTCTCTGCTTGAGCTAGATGGACTCTTGCCTTCCACCGGCTTCCCACTTTCAGGAATCCAGGGAACATCCTCCATCCTTGAAATGATCATACATTCTTTTATCTTCCTGGGGCCCATGTCATGGTGAGAGCTGCCCTCAGGAAAAGCACAGGCTTAGAGCACAGCTCTTCTGCTACCTGCAGATGGCTGGTATCCAGGAAGCCTGGAAGTGATTGGTTGCATCTGTGTGTGTGTGTGTGTGTGTGTGTGTGTGTGTGTGTGTGTGTAGAGTAGGAATAAGTAGGAATAAGGGAGGAATTCCCTCCCTTAGAGGAAGGGAATACATCTGACTTGCAACCCCATCACTGGAGCGCTATCTTACTTTGTGGTCCCCCAGAAGCAGATCTGGAGACAAGGATTCAGGTGCAACTGGTATGTATGCATGGTGATTCCATGAAGCATTGGTGAGAGAATGGAAAAGTGAATCAAGGAAAGGAATACCATCAAAGGGGGCATTCATAAGTCACCTGGCGCTGTGGGCAGCCCATTGGGTAACTGTGGGAGCACGTCAGCATTACTGCCCCTTGCCCTGAGGGATAAGGGGTAAGGATCTTATCACAAATTCCCTTTAGTTACTGGTGACAGCCTATGGGTGGGGGTTGTTATTTCCCAAATTCCAGTGTACCACTTTGGGTCATAGAGGCTTTCTTTAGTTTCTTTGTTTCATAAGGGCAGAGATCCAGCCATTAGAGTGGGAATGCACTGAAGTGTAGCTGTGGGCAGAGCATCCATATGCTTCTCCTTCAGGCGTTTTAGGTGGTAGAAGGAGTGCAGAGAGCCTTACCTGCTTGTGACTGTCTTTAGTAAGGGTTTCAGTATCTCTGCACTTAGAATTAAATTATTCATATCTCAGAAGCCCTTCACCACTGATAGTTAATAGTAGGTACAGAGAATTAACACCTAAGAAGCGGGGGTGGGGGGTGGAGAGGGGGAATGCCAAGCAGTTGGTTTGGTTGAACACAAGTAAAGACTCTTAGAATCATTGGTGTGGACTGCTTATTATTAATGTCTGATTACAGTGCTGCATAAATAATTATGCATATCATTAAATATGTGTCTGATTAACTTTGTCGTAAAATTTATGACAATACTAAGTTTTATTCACATGCTCAGCCTTCATAATATATTGCTTATGTAGCATGGTTATGACTTTAAAAAAATCTCCAAGACACTGTGGGTGTGATGACTACTTTCTTATCCATGAGTCTAGTTTATCCATTCTTTTGGAATTTCCATATACATGATAATAGTCACTGACTCTGCCTTTAGTGCTGCCAGTGGCAAAGCAATCTCACTTGCCCCGTTATTATGGCTGAGAGGATTTCTCCCCTCCTAATGTGAGTTCTCTCATCACATATTGTTGATTAATTCAGCCAACATTTATTTGGCCCCAATCATGTAACATTCATTATGCCCAATGGTGTGGATTTATATATATATGGATTAGAACCTGATTCTGTCCTCAAAGAGGTCATGGTCTAGTAGAGAATAATACCAACTTAGAGATGACTGTTCAGGAAGGGAGCAAAAATGAATAAAGGGCTATGCATTTTCTGTTTCTGTAGGTACACGGTAACAAAGCTGTTCTTATATTTGGTTTCTAGAAAACATCTCTAAAGCTTCTAGTCATCATTTTGTGCCTTCAGAAATGAGTAGTGTTGTAGGATAGTACTTATTACATAGCTTAGCTTTTTGTGCTGGCTGAGAATTTGATAAATGAAAGCCATTCACTGGTAAAATGTGTTTACTTTAGCCAAGTGCACAGTGGTAGCCCCTTTTTATAATCCAAGGCTAAAGATGTCATCCATCAGACCCCATGCCTATGTACTTCTTAACAATAAACCAACTAGAAGAACTTTACTATTCACAACAAAGGTAAAATACTATCAGGAATGAGGCTTAGTATCACAGGGAAAGAGTCAGATATGTTCTTGAAGTTGATAAGTTTACTTAAAAAGGATGTATCAGGAAGCCAAGCTTGCCATTGTCAGATCTCAGAATTGCAGTTGGCAGGAGAAATCAGGGTTAGAAATGGAACAGAGAAGGTCAACAGCAGATGGGCCAAGGAGAGGGCTAGTGTTTGTTGATCCTGTGGTCCAGTGACCTCCTAAGGGTTCTAGTGTGGGTCTGGCAGTGGGCTAGATAGTGGATCTAGGTCATGCTTGTACCCTAAAGTGAGAAAGAGGCTAGTGCGAATGGAATTTAAACAGCTTACGTATAGTCCTTCTAAAGAATTATATATTCCTGGGGCACCTGGGTGGCTCAGTCGGGTGGGCGTCTGACTTTGGCTCAAGTCATGATCTCGCGGTTTGTGAGTTCGAGTCCCGCGTCAGGCTCTGTGCTGACGGCTCAGAGCCTGGAGTCTGCTTCAGATTCTGTGTCTCCCTCTCTCTGCTCCTCTCCCACTCACTCTGTGTCTCCCTCTCTCTGCTCCTCCCTCTCTCTCTCTCTCTTTCAAAAATAAATAAAGCTTAAAAATTTTTTTAAAGAATTATATTTTCCTAACTACCAACCTAGAACATCCCAGATGATCATGCAATTTAAGGCTATGGTATACCTGTAGCAAATAGAACAGCCCCAGGAATAATAGGGAAATCAAATGATAGCAACCAATTTGGAAGCAACTCCACCCTTTCTTTGTCTGGAGCAGTGATTAGATGCAGGATCCCAGCATATAAAAATGCATGTATTAGTACATCCTTAACATAAGAGAAGATCTGGGCATGCCACTTTCTCCTCCCTCCACGCCAAACCTGTACTACATGATGAGTTTCCTGTATTCGTAGGAAACTTTGCTCCCCACCTACTCCTTCACACGACTACTTTGAGACCAGCTTGGGATCCTCCTTGCCTCTCCACACCCAGCAGGAAAGCAGCCCCTACTTGCATCTCTTTAAATGTTTCTCAAGCCTCTGCCTTCTTTCTCAATCCCAATCCCTCTACTGTGGTCATAGCCCTTTGTGAGACCAAGTGGGTTTCCTGCTTTTATTCTTTCCCCTCTTCAACCCATCTTCCAGAGTCCCTGGCATGGCTTCTCCTACTTACCTCGAGAGTAAAGTTCAGACAGTTTGCAGCTGGTCCTTAGTTCATGTTCCAGCATCGTCTCCAGTGACCCTTTTCTCTGCTTCACACCAGTTACTCTGACCTCACCTTCATTCTTTGGACACACCAAACAATTTCACATCACAATTCCTTACCTACCCAGTTCACTGCTTTTCTGAAAATTTCCAAAACCTTCCCAGGCAGCATTAATCACTTCTGCCTCCGTACCCCAAAAGTTACGCTTTCATTAGAGTGTTTATCGTGTTGATTGACAATCTTAATTAGCTGGGCAACACCTAGCATAGAAATTGAAACAGAGTAAATGTTCAAACATGGATTTATTTTTAACTTTAGGTCCAAAAGATTCAGCTTTTTATATCAGTCAGAGTTCTTAGTTTCAAGCAATATAAACAACTCTGACTCATTCAGGCAAGAAAGGAATGAATTGAAGGCTGTTGAGTTACTCACAGGCTTTCTGGAAGGTCCATAGAGACATACTTGGGACCCCGGTAGTAGAGCAGTACATAAAATCTCTGCAGGGAACCATGTGGCCGCTGCTGCTGGGTGCAGGTTCCACCGGACACACCACCCGCACCCGAAGTCTGACACTAGACTCAGCTGCTCCATCTGGAGATTAATGCAGCTCCCAGTTCTGCTGTTGCTCCAGCAAAAAAATGGATTCTCTGCAGCCCCTGTTTGTCCCATGTCATGTCAGGAGTCAAACTCCATCCATCTGCTTGAGCCTGGATCACATATCTGAGCCTAGTGGCAAGGGAGGCCGGGAGAATAAGCCTGTGGCTTCCATGGGGTTGTTGGTTTCCGTCACCCATCAAGAGCCATGAGGTAGAGAAATCCCCAGACAGCTCAGATGCCAGGAAGGGGGGTGGGCTGAAGGAAAGTAGAAAAAGAATGACAATTGTCTACTAGAACTTTCTTTTAGGACACCAAGGACCTGGTTAAGAGCTTCCTTTGACAGCATAGTCTGAGTCTTAGCAGGAAAAAAAACAAAAACAAAAAAAACGGCATGCTCAAGATGGGTGATTAGAGGAAAATTGAGTAAAGGGGGTATTTACAAAGGATGGGCAAGGTATAGGGAAGCCACAAGGGACAGTGCAGTGTTCTAGAACTAATAACAAGAGCCGTTACCACCCTAGGCCTAAAGAGGCAAGGGGAAGGAGTAGTGACTAGATGAGAGAGAAGGATGGAGAGAGAGACTGAGAGAGAGAGATAGCGTCACCTGATGGGAGCCTACACCATCCAAAAGAGACACAGCCAGCCCTGGGCAACCCCTCAGGGAGAGAACAAGAGTTGTAAATGGTCCTGACTCTTCCCCTTCCTTTCCTATGAACACCTGCTGAGGCTCCCATTGGCCCCAGTTGGATGCCAGAGCATGGAGAGCCCATTTGGGCTGTTCACACTTGTCAGTCTGTGGAATACGGTGCATGTTGGAGAAGGACGGAAGTGGATTTGGAGGAACAAATAGGAGATATGCGGCACACGAGGTTTAATCAATATGTCACCAACATTTTTCTTTTCGTTTTATTCAATATCTCCTTTGGGGATGTCACTTTGCATTTTTAGTACCCCAGTCTACAAGATAGATGATCTTAAAGTGTCCTTCTCATATTGAGCTTAACAAGATTCTGTTTTCCCCTTGTTGTTTAGAATGCTCTATTGTATGGTTCAACAATCTGTACTATTAAAGGTTAGCAGTTATGCCAACCAGTCCATTTTGTTGTGTGGTTTTTTTTCCTTCACAGACTTGGGGAAAAACAGTGGGACATGTGACCCACACACACACAGATCAAGATTCTCCCTTTCCAGATTT